GGTTTAGGGGCTAGGGTTTAGGGTTTAGGGTTTCGGGTCTCAGGGTTTAGGGCTTAGGGTTTCGGGTTTAGGGTTTAGGGTTTAGGGTTTCGGGTTTCGGGTTTAGGGTTTCGGGTTTCGGGTTTAAGGTTTCGGGTTTCGGGTTTCGGGTTTTGGGTTTAGGGTTTCGGGTTTAGGGTTTAGGGTTTAGGGTTCCGGGTTTGGGGTTTAGGGTTTAGGGTCAGGCCCTTAGAACAGTGATAAGACGTGCTCGCGACCCAACAATGCGGAACTCCGGGCCTTGAAATTCAATTGGGGGGTGGCCTTAGCTAGACAAAGGCGGGCGTTTTGTGTATATCTTGCATCGTTTTTTTGCGGGGCTGTGAAGGGATTCTGAATTCTCTTACCAAGCCTTCAGACCTCTATATTTCATGTACTGAATCAGCAGAGCTTGCAGCAGGACAAGGAATTTGTTAGGTCTGCCGGTTGATGACAGAGGCGAGCAAAGGCTTTGGCAAGGAGCCACGGCGTCATGCCTAATGTAGGGGCCTTAATAATCAGAATAGGGTCTTTCGGTAGATTACACTATAACTATAATCAGGAACCCCTGAAATAGTGTTGGTAATTATTTCGGCTTCTATATTACGGCTTGCGGTCTTCGGATTTTAGCGTTAGGGTGCAGGGTTTCGGGGTTTATGTTTGAAGGGCCTCGGCTCGCCAGGGTTTTAAAATTTTAGGACTGTCTTTGGGTTTCAAGGGTTAGCGTAGGGGCCTTCGTTGTTAGAATAGGGTTTTGGGGTATCTTGTACTATAATTATAATCGGGAACCCCCACAATAGTATAGGTAGTTACTAAGGCCCCTACATTATGGTTTAGGGATGAAGTGATGTGCCTAGAAAATACAGCGCGCCTCCCCGGAGTACTTGAAGTGGACATTGACGCCTCTGCGCCTGCACGACCCAGATTCTGGCCCTATGGGTTCAGATACCTGAAGCGTTAGGCAGTTGGAATTTCGGGTGACATGGGAATCTTGATAGTTGGAAAGGGTGAACAGGGTCTCGGGGTATGCTACAGTTTAGTATTGCACGGACTCTACGGAGATACAGATAAGAGGGTGTCCGAGTTCTCCTTGTCTGGCAGCTATGCGGCAACCTTGATTTAGGGTTCAGGGCCCTGTCGTTGAAAGACTGAGCAAGGTCTTCGGGCCCCAGAGAACCCAATATCCCTTAATTAAGGAGTATACCTTAAATCATAATATCAAGGCCCCTATAGTTTAAGGTACATTCCTTAATTAAGGTGTATTGGGCTCTCTGGGGCTGTGAGGTTTTAAACTTGTGCGTCTTCGTGGCCCAAACGAGAGCTCAGCTCGAGTTTGAAGCAGTTACGCAGTTACGTATCGATGGCGAACCATGCACATGGGGTTTAGGGTTTATGAGTTTAGGGTTTAGGGTTTAGGGTTTAGGGACGAAGGCATTCGGCCGAAAACACTTCCAGAAGCCCAAGGCCTACCTACATTTGCACAGAAGCACAACACATGCCAAAAGAAACCAGAAGAAAGGAATTCTCCCGAAGACGTCCTCAACCACCAAGCCCCATCTCTTTTGATCCTCTGCATAGACGCTTTAGCTGTGGTGTGGCTTGGCTTCCGTCCGAAGCAGAGTTTGATCGTCCGGGGCCGAGCAAGTGAGTAGGCCAGGGTGAAGAAAAAACTCAACAAGTGCTGAGTTCGAGGCTTTAAAACTACATCCTAGCCCCCAAGCCTGGCCTGTTGCCCCGTTTCCATCCATCCTCGCAAAGCGTCGTAAGCAATGGGTGCAGTGGGCTGCCCAAACATTAAATTTACATTAAATTAATTTAACTGTTGCTGTTGTCGCAGACGTTGCTGTGGTTGCTGTGGTTGCTGTTTTTGCTATTGTTGTTGCCGTTGCCGTTGACTTCGCCGTTGCCGATGCTGTTGACGTTGCCGTTGCTGTTGCCATTGCTGTTGTGGTTACTGTTGCTGTTGCTGTTGCTGTTGCTGTGGCCGTTGCTGCTCCTGTTGTGTTGCTGTTGTGGTTGCTGTTGCTGTGTTGCTGTGTTG